AGCCAATCAGAATCCATCCTGCTGTAACGAGCTCAAGAATTTAAAGCGGCAGACGCATGTGCGCTTAGAATAAACAGACGATATCGTTCGCTGGTGTGGACGCTAATATCGTTATCTTTATAGTTATCGTTCTTGGTGTGAACGGGGCTTTAGAGTCATTTGTTTAGGAATCAGGCTATGCCGGTTGTGCTGCATGTTTTTTGATTCATTAAAAAGAACCAGCTACTAAGAATCAGTTGTTCAAGAATCAGATTACACTGGTTGCACTAAATGTTTTTTGATTCGCTAAAAAGAACCAACTCATAAGAGTCATTTGTTCAGGAATCAAGCTACACTGGTTCTGGTGCACGTTTTTTTTTTTTTTATTCAATAAGTTTATTGATTCACCTAAAAGAACCAGCTACTAAGAATCATTTGTTCAAGAATCAGATTAAACTGGTTGCACTAAATGTTTTTTGATTCACTAAAAAGAACCGACTCATAAGAGTCATTTGTTCAGGAATCAGGCTACATCAGTTGTGCTGCTTGTTTTTTGATTTACTAAAAAGAACCAACCCATAAGATTCATTAGATCAACAATTTTTGTGATGTATGTTGTTGATTCACTAAAAAGACCAGCGATTCACTGTGTGCTATCTGATTAAACTCATCTACTCAAACTCAGTAATAAATACATTCATTAAGTCAATCAGTCAATAAAATACAAAACCACATCTCACCCCTTCATCATCATCCTCAATCTTCATATGTTCAGCAATGAACCTCACACCCTCTATGGCCTCATCCACATCTTGGTCGTGCCTGACTTTCACTCTCTGCCTGAACTCCGACCCCTCAGGAAGGTCGCCGACCCTCCAGGCCCCGCACACACGCCCAGGGTCATCAACATTTAATTTCTAAAACATTGTTATACACACTATTAATGTTAGATTTAGACAAACATGTAATTGTATTTATTTATTAGTACATAAATTTTTTATTTTAAGACAATTCATTAAAATAATTGTGGTTAATCTCATGATTTCATGAAAATTTAAATAAAAATATCAAATTTGGTATGTTAGGGTTAGGGTTAGGTTAGGCTAGGTATATAATTATAAATATATTTATTTGTAAGTCACTTTGGACAAAGCATCTGCTAAATGACTAAATGTAAATGTGTGTGTGTGTGTGTGCGTGTGTGTGTGTGTGTGTGTGTGATTAGTATGCATTAATTAACAGATCTTTAATCCAGGATCTCTCTCCCTCTGTGCACTTGAAAAATTATTAGTGTACAGCTTTTCAATTAAAATTATCATAGAAATACAATGCTTATTTTAGCAAAGGATTACATGCACCAGTGTCTCTTTACATGAAGAAATGCCTCTTAAGCAAATTAAAGTCTCATCCCACCCAATTTATCCATTTAAGCAATGAACATGCGCAAGTGCATCCTCTATTTTTATCTACTAAAATAGAGGTTATATAACGCACATTGCTTCCACTAGGAACAACCATCTGACCTAGATCAAACACTTTAAACATTTTGCTTGTCATTCATATTTTTTTCTTCATTCTTCGGAGCTTTGTCAAGAGCGTAGACGTGAACGACATGAAACAACAGCACCAAGGGAGGAGACTGCTCTTACTTTTGGCAACTTTCTAGCATAATTAGCAGGGCTCTTGGAACAGTGACAGCTTGCTTGTTGTATTGAGTTTGACACTAAACACTGACTGTGCATCAAAGTCTCACAACATCCCAAAAGTTACAAGGCTCATGGCCTTAATAAGGACTGAGAAAAGCTGCAAAAATGAAGTTAGTGTGGTACTAATAACTGTTTCCAAAGCTACTGCTCCGAGCTATTTCAAATAAAACATTAATTTATCAAACGTTATGATACACATGTAAGACTTGCATAACTATACTGAATGAAAGTATGTATCAGTGCTTAACAATAAGGATATATATAACAATAAGGATATATATATATATACAGTGGGTACGGAAAGTATTCAGACCCCCTTAAATTTTTCACTCTTTGTTATATTGCAGCCATTTGCTAAAATCATTTAAGTTAATTTTTTTTCCTCATTAATGTACACACAGCACCCCATATTGACAGAAAAACACAGAATTGTTGACATTTTTGCAGATTTATTAAAAAAGAAAAACTGAAATATCACATGGTCCTAAGTATTCAGACCCTTTTTATACTGCACTGTATATATATTATTTATAGTTACATATAGTTTATAATCATATATTTTTAGCAAATATAAATAAAATAAATTTCTAAAAATAAAAAATCAGTGAAAATAAACATCTGAACTACTCAACCAATAGAAAATCATAATCATATTATGCTCATATTGTCATTCACAATTATGGGGTCAGTACTATTATCAGGATTTTATTTTTAGAAATTAATACTTTTATTACTTTTAAAGAAATTTATTTCACTTTTAAATATTATTTTCACTTATAAATTATTTTTTTACTTAGAAATAACGCATTAAATTGATAAAAAGTGACAGTAAAAGTGACAGTTTTTTCTATTCATCAAAGAATCCTAGGAAAAATTATGGTTTTCACAAAAATAATAATAAACATATGTTTTCAGAATGATTTAGAAAGATTTGTGAAAGATCATGTGACACTGAAGACTGGAATAATGATGCTGAAAATTCAGCTTTGATCACAGGAACAAATTACATTTTACAATATATTCACAGTTATTTTAATTTGAAATATTATTTCACAATATTACTGATTTTTCTGTATTTTTGATCAAATAAATGCAGCCTTGGTGAGCAGAAGAGACCTTCAAAAGAAATTAAAATTCTTACTGAGCCCAAACTTTTGAATAGAAGTCTATAGACAGTGTATATGTGCTACTGGTATATAAATGTACTGGTCACAGTTATGGCATACTTGTTATAGAGTACTATATCAGGAAGCCAGATGTGCTGCGATGGAATTCGTAGTTTTTTGATGCCCTCGTACTCATTCGGGTCCCACACCAGTCTGTAGTCATTCCACTCCTACAGAGAGAGTAAAACGTGGTTAAAACTGTTCAAATTGGGTGAGACGATGTACCAGAATTGATACCAAACACATTAAATGCATTCACTTGGGTTAAACAGGACTTTCCATCACTTTTCGAAATGACCTAAAAGTGAACTATAATTGAATTACAACTCAAATCTGCCGCACGCAGTGAGTGCACTCATGTGTTTGACAGCTGATTTGACTGTGTTTTATAACACTATCCAGATGAGTGCACAGGCATAGCAGGTGAGCTTACCTGAGTCAGCCACACATTCGTCGTCATGATTTGTTCCCTCTCATTCTATAAAAAGAGCAGAACATTACATGTAACAGCGAAAAGTGAATAGAAAATAATTGGGCGGAGTGACAGGGATATGATGAGATCAGGACATGACACAATCCAGACTCTAACCTGCATCGCCCATGTGAGCACTAACACTGAGTTCTATCCGGAAAAGACACGACAGGGTTACAGCGTCTCTGTCCTCACTGACAGTGAAAGTCAGTCTGAATTTGCTGTTTAATATACAGCTGTGTGAAGCACAGATTTGAACAAATGAGATTCTGCAGAGGGCGGGGCTACCCAGTGCAACAGGACAAAAATAGTAACAGATTGTTTTGTCGCTTGTCACTGTGTGGCACTGCGCCTGGTTAGAACAGAGCGTCAGTGGGATTTTACCTGTCAATGTGAACCTTAAGTCTCTAATGTGTCACGGGTATGTTACTGCTGCACCACGGCTCAATCGTGTGCGTGCGACATGAACATTAAATGCACCATTTCTACACAAACACACAATTGTATGCAAAATGCCTTAAATATTAATTATTTAAATATCAAATATTTTAACTTTATTTAAATATTAAATATTAGCTATAAAGTTTGAGTCAGAAAGAAACTGATATTTTTATTCAGCATTCAGTTGATCAAAAATTACATCCATGATGTTACAAAAGATTTCTATTTCAAATACAAGCTGTGCTTCAAACTTTCTGTTCATCAAATAATTCTGAGGGGAAAAATACACTTTCTCCACCTCATTAAGAAATGTTTCTTGAGCAGCAAATCAGCATGTTAGAATGAATTCTGAAGGATCATGTGACACTGAAGACTGGAGTAATGACGCTGAAAATTCAGCTTTGACATAACAGAAAAAACAAATCAAAATGTAAAGTAGTTTAAAGTAGCAAAAGAGTTATTTAAAATTGTAATAATATTTCACAATATTACTGTTTCTTATCAAATAAATGCAGCCCTGTTAAACATAAGAATCTTCTTTCAAAAACATTTTAAAAAACGTACTGACTCCAAACTTTTAAACAGAAATGTATCTAACATTTAAGACATTTAGCAGACACTCTTACCCAGAGTCACTTACAAAAAGTTTTATATACAGCATATGTTAGGTCATGAGTTCATATATATTTATGATGCTGATATCACACATATATTTTAATAAATCACACAAGGCAGGTGTGTTTGTTTAGGGTTGGAGCAAAACTCTGCGAAACCTTGAGGTTTTGACCTTGAGGGCCAGAGCTGCACACCTCTGCTCTAATATTTGATGTTTGCTGTGTGTGTATGTGTGTGTGTGTATGAGACAAACTTACCACACTAATGAGCTGTGCAAGAGAGACTTTGATGCCAATAGTGACCTGCTGACTCTTATTGACCGCAGGACGGATAAGTTTATTGTAACGCTCAGGACCAAGCAGAAAATCTACCAGCCTCTCCTCAGCATCAGCAGCAAGAGACCCTAAAATACACAAACACACACAATACATGGTAAATGCCTTTTTGTCTATTAAAGGTGTCATATAATCTATCTATCTATCTATCTATCTATCTATATTTATGTATGTGTGTGTGTGTGTGTGTGTACCTGTTTTTCTATTCTGGTTGGGACTTAAACCTGAATACGCACAGACTCATGGGGACTCGTGTCAATTACCTAAATTGAGGTCCCCACGGGTAAACAAGCTAATAAATCACACATAATGAAGTTTTTTGAAAATCTAAAAATGCACAAAGTTTCCTGTGAGGGGTAGGTTTAGGGGTAGGGTTGGTGTAGGGCAATATAATATACGGTCTGTACAGTAGAAAAACCATTACGCCTATGGAGAGTCCCCACAAGGATAGCTGACCAGACATGTGTGTGTGTGTGTGTGTGTGTGTGTGTATATATCAAAAACATTTCAGTGCAGTACTGTATGTTGGCTAGAACATTTTAAAAAAGTATTTTTGTGACTTTTTTGTGGAGAAAAAAAAAGACTTTTTTGTGACAATGTGACTTTTTTGTGATCAATGTGACTGTGCTGATGGATTTTTGGCATAGAGACATAGGATTTTGATTTTTGATTTTGATTTACTTGATCAAAGATGTTGTAAAACTAAAAACAGGTCATTCTGAAATCTTTGGATTTCTTACATTTGACTTCAAAAGTCTGAGCTGCACATTTCAGAGCAGATTATTGTGTTAACTTCATTTATAAATTACTATAAATAAACTAAATTATGACTGCTTTGTCAAAAAAAATAAAAAGAAATAAAGAAATAAATAATAATAATAATAGGAAGAAGAATTAGTGGATCACATCGGGGGGGGGGGTTTTTACATTAAAACGGAGTAGAAACAATTTTCACTCAGAAAGAAAAAATGGCAAGCAACACATTTTTATAAATGTGAAATTTTGAAGATGAAAATCTGAAAATTTTCTGGTAAAACATACTCCAATAATCTTGTCTGATATGATCCCTTCTAGACTGTTCTAGCTTTGCATCTAGTGTCTGTTTGCCAAAACCTTTTAAAATTGTCTTTAAATGTCAAATAATCATCAAAAGACATTAAAGTCACAAAGCAGTGCTATCTCCTACAGTTTTTTATAGTTCTGGAGTTTTTAAGAAAATCATGAAAAGGTCAGAAGTGTCTGCTAAGCTGCATGTAATCTGCTTTCACAGCAGAGCAAAAAAAAAAAAACATGTCAGAATCATTTTTCTCTGCATCATATCCCATCATAACTCATAAGCCCACCAATGCTGTGGAGGGGGTGTGCCAATGACATGACAAAACAATGACTTGCCAAGCCGGTAGCAACACACACATACACGCACACACACACACACTTGCCATTTCCTCCCCACTGCATGTGGGATAAGATCTCCAGTGACTGCGCTCCTCCTCTCAAAACAGAATACTGACACACACACACCTAGTTTCCGTCATGAATCCAAGGTTGTGTCAGACTCAGTTGGTATGATCTGTTCCGCACAGGAAGACACACACACCTTTGAGCTTCTGTGGCTATGCTGAGCCTTAGCCATTTTGCATGGCTTGTCCCTTTAAGCAAAGCAAGGTCTTGATCCATTTCACATCAGTTTATGTGTGTGTTTGTGTGTAACTCAGTCCTCAAGGATGTTATACCCATGCAAAAGCCTCTGGAAAGACAATCAGTGTGTGACTATATGTGTGTCTGACCTAATACCTCTAATCTCAGACCCATCTGTGTGAGACCACCATTTCTAGTTTAATGCTTCATCGGACAGACGAAACATCTGCAGCAGCATCTGACTCTAATATCCATTTGATTGATTTTATCTATTTGCCATTCTTTCAATGTCTATATGAGCTGCAGTGGATTCAAATGCAGTAATAGACAGTACCAAAATTATGAGAATGTTTATAAATAAACAAGAATTTCATATTTTACATTTTAGACACAATATGAGTCTGTTTACATGCACGTTCTTAAGCCGATTATACTTAATAAGCCGACAATGCACGTGGTCATGTAAAACCGGTAACCTGTTTTCTTTTATCGGAGTAAGGTCATAAACAGCGTAAGCATAAACCAGTCGACACAGGTAGTTTTTTGCCTTTTACCCAGATTTTGCGCGTCATGTAAACGCATTAACCTGCTTTCTGTCGGCTTATTGAAGTGCGCATGTGTAATACCTGACAGGAACACATTGTTAATGCAGATTTAAGCGATTCCAGGCAGAGTGAGAGTTTTGCAGTAAAGAAAGAAGCAAATATATCACAAACACAGACTCTTTCATGACCCAGAAAATGATCAAAATGTTTTCTCATGGACTGGGACAAAAAATCGGCCCTGGCATTTTTTGTTATTTTAAATAGTAAAAATATTTCACAATATTACTGCTTTTGCTGTATTTTGGATCAAATAAATGCACGCTTGGTGAGCAGAAGAGAATATCATATATATATATACCCCCTTTTTATTTAAGATAAATGCTGATCTTTGGATCTTTCTATTCATCAAAGAATCATGAAAAAAATGTACTCAACTGTTTTAAATATTGATAATAATAATAATCAGAAATGTTTCTTGAGCAGCAAATCAGCATATTACACTCTAAAAAATGCTGAGTTGTTTCAACCCAACTTTGGTTCAAATATGGACTAACCCAACTTTTGGGTTAAAAATGTAATGTAAAAATTTAACCCAACGGTTGGGTTAGTCCAGATTTGACCCAAAGTTGGGTTGAAACAACCCAGCATTTTTTAGAGTGTAGAATGATTTCTGAAGGATCACGTGACACTGAAGAATGGAGTAATGATGCTGAAAATTAAACTTTGATCACAGAAATAAATTACATTTTAAAATATATTCAAATAGAAAGCAGTTATTTTAAATGGTAAAAAATATTTCACAATATTACTGCTTTTGCTGTACTTTGGAACAAATAAATGCAGGTTTGGTGAGCAGAAGAGAATTCTTTAAAAAAAACTTTAAAAATCTTTTTTTAACTTTTTAAATTTTTTTAACTGGTAGTGTAGATATGTAGCATTGCATCTAGTTGTTTTGGATAAGAATAAAACGTCAGGTCCGACAATATCGTGTCTTTTTTTATTTAAATCAAGATGTATTTGCATTGGCTCATGGAAACCCCTATGAAAACACTTGACTTGGACAAAAATCGTGGGGGACGAATTTACATTTTATTAAAAAGTGTTTAGCCTACGTATTCTACACTCATGGCACACACACACATTAGTATAGGTTAGATGCCTGCCTCCGTTGCGAGTCCCTATCAAGCACTTTACCGATTCAACTACTCTCCTCTCCTCCTCCTGCCTGACTCTTTGGCCCGCATCACTCACCGCAGAGCAAGCCTGCTCTTGATAACGCTGCTGTGAAAACGTGGGAAAAGCCAACGAGGAAGAAGTTGGGGTGAAGCGATCTTTATATAGGCGGAGCAAAATAGCCTACTTCATCGCTCCGTCTATAGCGCATTGTGATAGGGTGGTTTACGCCGTCAATACAGGAGACAAACCAATGGGCCACTGGCTGCTCGCTGTCCGTGCGTGATGGTCCTTGGCAAAAAAAAACATTCTGTCGGCCCCTTAAGTGCGTCGGCCCACGGGGAAAATGCCCGGTATGCCCGATTACCAATCCAACCCTGAGGTGCAGCAGAAGGAGAAGTGGTTCAGTCAAAACGCTGCATCTGTAACTGCATGAGAGTATAATATATGAGCTGTAGCCTAAGTTTCCCGCTGACATGCAAGCTTTATTTAACATCACAACTGACAACATATGGAATACAACTGATTAGCTGTGTTTTGATGTCACTACAGGAAAATAACCTGATTTATTAATAAAGTCATGTAAACACGGTTTGCTTATGTTGTCGGGTTACTGATGTGCATGTAAACTGGGAAAACTGGTTATTTCAACAAGCTGATATTTATCAGCTTACTAGTGTGCATGTAAATGTTATCAATATCTTTTCTTTTCTCCACCACTGAAAACTGTTCCATACAAACACAAGGTTGAATCAACCTGTTGTGTATACACTTCAATTCAAAAGTTTGGAGAATTTTTTCTAAAGATTTTAATACTTTAATTCAGACAGCAAGGATCCATTAAATTAACCAGAAGTGACAGTAAAGGCATTTACAATGTTACTAAATATTTCCATTTCATGTAAATGTTGCTATTTTATAACTTTATATATTGTATAACTTAATCATCAATATCATGAAAAAATGTATCACAGATTTCATAAAAAATATTAAGCAGTACAACCATTTTCAGCATTGAAAATAACAGAAATGTTAAACCAAATCAGCATATTAGAATGATTTCTGAAGGATCATGTGATACTAAAGACTCGGGTATTGACGTTGAAAATTCAGCTTTTCCATCACTGGAAAAAATACATTTTAAAATATATTACAACAGAAAACAGTTAAATGTTAATAAAGTTTCACATTATTACTGTTTTACTGTATTTTTGACCACTTTTGAATGGTTCTTTAAAGTGGTGTTTTGTTCCTGAATTAATGTTTTTGAATCAATCAACTGAATGAATGATTCAATGTGCCAACTGGCATGACAATCTAAACTTCAGAAAAAATCACTACAAATTTTCCACCAATAATGCACAGACCTGACAGGCTATGACAAGCAGACGGATACAAAGACTGACTGTATATCAAAGCTCTCGGAACGACAGTTGGCCAATCAAATTCAAAGACTTTTTGAGTTAAATGCTATTACTGTTAGAGATCATTCACAACGCCATAATATTAAATACTGATATTCAATTTATCTTTAAAATGTTTTTTTTTTTAAGTGCAATACACTTAGATGAATGCTAGAGTCATTCTATAATGAGTGAATTAATTCGTTTTAAGCAGCCATCAAATGGTGAATTTTGTGAATTAAATGTTACAAAATTAAAATAATCACCATTTTAATGTATTTATTAAATAGTGATATTCAATTTATCTTTAAAATGTAATTTTTTTTTTTTAAGTGCAATACATTTATATGAATGCTTATTTCACCTTGCACCTTATTTTTCAATGTGGAAGTAAGCCGTTTTCTGTGAATGTGTGAGACTTCTGGTTCATTAGCCGCTGTGGGGAAATAACGAGAAGAAGAATAAAGTGCAGTAACGGTAAAACTGTTAGCGCTATTGTTGAAAATTCAGCTTTTCCATCACTGGAAAATATACATTTTAAAATATATTACAACAGAAAACAGTTAAATGTTAATAAAGTTTCACATTATTACTGTTTTGTACAGCTAAAAATAGCTGGAAGCGGATGACACCGGAAGCCAGACTCATAAAATTTACAAATGGACGCGCCCGCTCTTACGGGAAAAATAAGGTGGCTAGAAAGAGACACACCGACATGCACAACAACTTTTGAAAGAGCTGATAATTAAAGATGAAATATATCATACTGCTATAATTTACACGTTATGTGTGTGTTTGTGGCTATTCAGCTGAGCTGTAATTAATGTGCATGTGACTGAACTGTAAAGAGGTGTGTGTTTTTGTTATGCTTGCTCTGATGTTAATGGATGTTAGTGGGGGTTAAGTGCTCTCATCCCTCACATTATGTATCTTATCCCACAGCACTATATAGTACTGTAATAACATTACACAGGCATAACAAAACACACAACACTACAGAAAATGAGTATGTTCTGAGCATGTTGGAAACTGCTTTTTACCTTATGTTATTTTTTTCCAATTTGCAGATGTAATTTAATGAAGACAGCAAATAAATCCAAATTACATGATACCTTTATTAGGTTATATCTGCACATCGATCATAATCCTGTATTTTCGGATCTGTTACATATACAGTTGATCATTTTAAGATATAAATGTTGTCAATATATAGGCTAGTCTTTCTGCCTAGTGTGGACACTAGCAGTCACAAAGACCAATATTTCTGTAAAATAACCACAATGCTTGTTATAAAATTAATCCAAATCAATGCTTCTACAGAATTTCAGTATAAGAATCTAATTCTATGGACTCTTAACAGTTTGGTGATGTTTGATTTAATTTAGCATGTAACTACATAAAATATTTTCTTTCTAAATGTATGTTATTTATTGAACATTCACAGTGCTTTGTGCATTAATAAAAAAATAGCAAGTGAAGTTTTTGTCCATTAATATTGCATTTTATATTTTGCTGTTAGAGTAAATGGAATGGCTATTCAGCTGAGCTGTAATTAATGTGTATGTGACTGCACTGAAAAGAGGTTGTGTGTTTTTGTTATGCTTGCTCTGATGTTAATGGATGTTAGTGGGGGTTAAGTGCTCTCATCCCTCACATTATGTATCTTATCCCACAGCACTATATAGTACTGTAATAACATTACACAGGCATAACAAAACACACAACACTACAGAAAATGAGTATGTTCTGAGCATGTTGGAATTTGCTTTTTACCTTATGTTATGTTTTTCCAATTTGCAGATGTAATTTAATGAAGATAGCAAATAAATCCAAATTACATGATACCTTTATTAGGTTATATCTGCACATCGATCATAATCCTGTATTTTCGGATCTGTTACATATACAGTTGATCATTTTAAGATATAAATGTTGTCAATATATAGGCTAGTCTTTCTGCCTAGTGTGGACACTAGCAGTCACAAAGACCAATATTTCTGTAAAATAACCACAATGCTTGTTATAAAATTAATCCAAATCAATGCTTCTACAGAATTTCAGTATAAGAATCTAATTCTATGGACTCTTAACAGTTTGGTGATGTTTGATTTAATTTAGCATGTAACTACATAAAATATTTTCTTTCTAAATGTATGTTATTTATTGAACATTCACAGTGCTTTGTGCATTAATAAAAAAATAGCAAGTGAAGTTTTTGTCCATTAATATTGCATTTTATATTTTGCTGTTAGAGTAAATGGAATACTGTAATAACATTTGCTAAGGCCTTCCATTTACCTCTATTTATACTTCATTTACTTCCACGTTCTAAAACTGGTAATATGAAAAGAGTCTATTTTCATACGGACGACTTAAAAGTGAATAATCCAGCTCAAAAACATCTTAACTTCAAATACTTTTATACACACACTGTAAAAAAAATTCCGTAAAATTTACGGTAAAAAACCGGCAGCTGTGGTTAATATACCAACCTACTGAAGTACTGAAATCTGTTTTGCACCTTTGTAATACACTGATAACCACCAAATGCAGATGGTGATGAGAAAGTCACATGATGAACCAAAGCCCATCACAAGCAGCTTTTAAATAATAACATATATAGAAATGTCAGTAATAAAAAATAAAAAAAAATACTGCATGCTTAGTTCCTGTGTTGCCATTTCTGAATATTTGCCTTATAGCTATATGACAATCCATTATAATAAAAAAGTATGATTTAAATACAAGTACGCAATAGCTTCTTACTTGTCACGCAGAGCCAAAGTAGGCAGAAACATATAAGCCACTTTGATGCCATCACGGAAACCATTACTCTCTCTCTCTCTCTCTCTGTCCCGGGTGAAGGTTCACAGTGATGTCCAGTCCACGGTCACTATCACCCTCCAGAGTCCTCCGTCCTCTCCAGTACGGGCGCTGTGGTGCTTTACCCTAACCGAGGGCTATTCTCTGTGCTCCAGGCTTTGCTCTTTCTCTCTCAGCATTCAGCAGCCGTCTCCCAATCATCGACAGATGTTTTGCTCGCGTTAATACAATGTACTCCGGTGCGCAGAGAGAAGCGCGAGCGTCCACAGACTCCGGTCAGATTACGCGCGCTTACATTTGAAGCGCGCTTAAGCCATTCATCAGGTCAGTACGCATGTCTTAACGAGAAAGAAACGCCGGTGTTGCATTTGCAAACATGTTTCCCGACAACAAGAAAACAAATGACAGTAGACTCCGGCTCCAGGTAAACTTTTAAGCGATGAAGCGCGAGAGCTGACACTAGCCTACCCTGATGGGACTGTTCGGTCTCCCACACACGTCTGCTTTTTAAAGCTCACATACTTAGGCAATGACAATATTGTTATATTATTGCACTATTATTTTATGTAATCCTGGCTGAGTGATCTTCGGATGCAGTGCAAGGATCTGTGAGAATAGTGATACATTCTCATATGGGACTCCAGGAGAAGCATGTGACAGATAGCGCCATTTCTGTGCGAGGTGCAGGAAACGGTTCATAACAGGCAATTTGATGAAACATTTAATATATTATGGAAGTTTCATTTTTCTATCTATCTATCTATCTATCTATCTATCTATCTTATTTCCAAGGTTTATTTCCACATTTTCTTTCAGATGCAGATGCTGTTAGACTCTATTTAGGGGTCATCTTTCATCTCAGTCCACCAAAAATCTATAGCTAATGAACTCAATCATCAGCAGACTGAAAAATATGATTATTATTAGCAGCTGCAATAAGCTATGTTAGGTCATTTTACTCTGAATTCTCCCCTTATCAACCATTAAAGGGTTAGTTCACCTAAAAATTAAAATTCTGTTATCGTTTCTGTTATCAGGTTGTTCCCAATCCATAAGACTATTGAATATATTTTTATGAAACCTTAGAGATTTCTGTTCCTCCATTGAAAGTCTCTTCCAACTTTGATAAAAACGTTTAGAAATATATTGTAGTAATACTTTACAACATTAGGTCACATTAGTCAATGCATTAATTAACAATGAGCAATACATTGTGTATTAATCTTTGTCAGTGCTAGTTAATAAAAATACAACTGTTCATTGTTAGTTCAGGTTCATTAAATAAAATTAATCGACACAACTTTTGATTTGATTTGAACTAATGTGGTTAGTAATGTTAACAAACAAAACCTTATTGTAATGTATTACTGATATTGTAAATGTAATCAAGCGGTTTAATCCAAGTCTTTAATTTTTGGGTGAACTAAAGAATTTTAAAGGTTGATACATTAAGTATTATCATTTCATTAGTTGCTGACCCACACATACCTGCCACAAAAAATGTCCTCCCTTTATCTACTTTCCATTATCTACTGAAGGATTCTATTTTAATGTCGTCTTTAAAAGGCTGTCAAGGAATCCGAGCCCCCTTAACACCAAAAACCTTTCTGGGTGACACCAATTATGGTTCTGGCTCACTCCTCCAGGTGAGTGAAGACACAACCAGTGGGGAAAACACTTTTTTAGACCAACGCTTAAGTGTAATATGTGACCCTGGAGCACAAAAGCAGTCTTAAGTCGCTGGGGTATATTTGTAGCAATAGCCAAAAAAACATTGTATTTGTCAAAATTATTGATTTTTCTTTTATGCCAAAAATCATATTTTTGGTATTAAGTAAAGATCATGTTCCATGAAGATATTTAGAAAATTTCCTACTGTAAATATATAAAAACTTAATTTTTGATTAGTAATATATGCATTGCTAAGAACTTCATTTGGACAACTTTAAAGGCGATTTTCTCAATATTTTGATTTTTTTTGCACCCTCAGATTCCAGATTTTCAAATAGTTGTATCTCAGCCAAATATTATCCTATCATAACAAACCATACATCAATGGAAAGCTTATTTATTCAGCTTTCATGTGATGTATAAATCTCAATTTTCAAAAAATTGACCCTTATGACTGGTTTTGTGGTCCAGGGTCACATATGTGTTAGTGGTATAGATTTAAATTAACATTACAAGGAAACCAGGGTTCAGACCCCTTCTTTTTTTTTCTTTTTTTTTAAATAAACATCCAATTTAACCTGAATTTAACAGACAGTGATCACCAACTGCTGAATAATAATAATAATAAATAATAATAATAATAAACGATAACTTTTGTTGCATACAAGGAAAACAATTTTCTCATCCCATGAGGGTTGGCAGATGATGACAGAATATTCAGTTTAAAGCAAATGATATGCAGAACACTTGACTCACCAAATGTATACATGTGAAAGGTGATTTCTGCTACATTTTAGACGATGCCTTTCTTTGAGGTATAGTTACAGTCAAAAGGGGCACGTATCAGATATCATTCATTTGAATAGGCATGACGTTTCTGCAGATGCCTGCTCTTTCTCTCTCACACGCACACTGACACACAAACACAAGGAGAGGCAGTGAGGTTAGAGCTTTAAAAGGCCAGCTTCTGCTTTCCACAACCGACGCAGGTAACCTGCCAACTGTTAAAAGCAGAATCTTGTTCACAGCATAGAAAAATCTCCACACTGCACACACACTTTCACATAGACTGTACAATAAATACAGACTGATTATGTTTCATTGTGTCATCGAACACTCACATTTGAGACACTCATTTCAGTGGGACACCTAGTGTATATATTGATAAAAACTGAACAAGTTTCCAGAGGATCTAATCCATAAACATCATAACCCGGTTTAGTATTGGTCTCCTTCAAGAGGATGTTTTTTTAGAGTAGTTAATACTATAGAAAAACAGTATACTGTAGAGATTCATCAACTTATTTATCTGATCATGTTTTTGACATTTTAATGGCATGGTAACACTTTATAATAATGTTAACATTGGTTTATGCATACAATATCAGGAACCAGCAATTAATTATATAGCATTTATTCATTTATAAATGTCCTCTTATTCATTGTAAATTCATCTATGTTTATAATATCAATATGTCAATGTATTCTAATTTGAATTTATGCAACTTACATGTTAAATGTGTACATAGAAATTATCACAATAAATGCTGTGAAAGTATTGTGGATGAACTATTTTACAGTATGTGCACTTACAGTGTACTTACACAAGAAAGTACTGAGTAATATAAGATAACTACTTGGACTTAATATGGGTTAAGGTTAGGTTAGTACTACTTAGTACATGCATGTAGAACAAGACTGTAAAATGAAGTGCTACCAGTATTGTTCATTGTTGCTCATGATCCTTACAGTAATCAATTAAACATTATTGTAAAGCGTTACAGACATTTTCATGCTATTACGGCACATTCTTCTAAAAGTTTAACATTTCTTAAACAGCGTTTACCAGCATCCTCAGTCTGTGCCTCATGTACTGTAATTACCCATAGATCTGTTGCTGCTTTAAAAACACGTACAGATGTTTCACACTGAGTCATTAAAATTTCAATTAAAGCTGTGGCTGGTATATTAGGTGTAGAGGTGGTTTATGACAGAGATGCGTTGCGTAAATTGTGCTCTCACACACATCCAGTTTACGGGATGATGGAGATTCCAATCTGTCGTAATGGACTTGAATCACATCTCGCCTTGTGTGGCCCACAGTAAAAGAGATTGACGGGCAAATAGGTGTGAGAGACAGATTTCTGTAATATCTGGGGGATGGGTGCAGATTTTAAAAAAAAAGGGTAAGGGATGATTCATTAGATGTGCCATTTTTATACTTTTTCCTGGAGGACAAACACCTGTCGTCTAAGAGAGGTGACATTACAGTTCGGATCCATCATCCACATCCAACCCTCTGGCAAACTAACAGCTGACACTTTTCACAACATTTCCACAACTGTCATTGATACAAATGTGTACTGTGTTCAAGAACAGCTGAGGAGAGTTAAGAGTTTAAGTAATGCGATTTGTCTTCCAGGGCACACAAATGCATATGGTCAGTTTATGAGCTTTATATGAGGGCACCACATATATAATGCTTGAAAGTCTTGGAACACACACGGAGTCTTAAATGGATACTCCACCCAAAAAGGAAAATTCTCCATTTGCTCACCCTCAAGCTATCCCAAATGTATGATTGCTGTGAGTCCATACAGTGCAAGTTCATGGGTCCCTCATAGCTGATGCTTCAAAAAAACATGCAAAATGAACACAATAGCAATCCAATATGACCCCAGTTAATAAAAAAAGTGTCTTCTGAAGCAAAAAGATAGGTGTGTTTGAGAAAATAGCAATTTTTTTAAACTATTTAAATTATAAACCATTGCTTTGGTATCGGGGCATTTTAACGAGTACGAGTACGAGTACAGGAGGCCAGTATCTGGCCCGATACCGATACCAGTATCGGTATCGGTCCATCCCTATTATAAACCACATTGCTTCCGGCCAACTGCCGAATGCAGTTTTATAAGTTCATAGATGTAAACATTAGCATTTGCGCAACTAGAGATGCAGGAGGACCATTCTTCTCATCAGCATTGATTCATCAGCTGTTGCATGGTTTACTGTTGAGTTTGTTTTGCATGGTTTTCGAAGCATCAACTTTGAGGGACCCGCACTCACTTACAGTACATTAGAGATTTTTCTGCATTCCACAGAATAAAGTTAGACATATACATCTAGGGTGACATGAGGTTTAGTAAATGATGAGAGAATTTTCATTTTCCACGTGCACCCTTTCATAGCAATGGTGTTCCCTGATGGCTGTGGCCTCTTTCAGCAAGATAATGCATCCTGCCACACTGCAAAAATTGTTCAGGAATGATTTCAGGGAACATGACAAAGAGCTCAAGGTATTGCCTTGGCCTTCAAATTCCCCTTTGGACAGCGATCAGTGATCAAGGGGTCTACAATTCATCCTTGCCTATATGAGTAGTATAGAACCTCATGTTCATTGGGTAATTATATGTAAACTGTGTGTTTACACAGCTTTTTAAAAATGGTGGGTGCCAGTTTTTTGTAAAGCAAGCGTTCAGCCAATCAACTTAAATGTACGTCACTGGTAGTTGATATTGTGCGGAGTTGGACCCTACTCTAAAGTAAAATTTAGTTGACCAAAAGGCGTTCCTGCATCGGTCCAAGTTCATGCAGTGCAAAGAGACGCCAAAAAGCTAGTACCTCCACCAATAGTTAGAGGAACTATGAAAACGTTCCTCTGGTGTGAAAACCCCTTATTGCACAGCAAGGGGTAAATCCGACCTTGTTCATGGCACAGTCTGTTGAGGTCCATCTC